CCCGGCCACCTCTAAGGACCAGAAACACATTGGTGGCTCTAGACTTTGTGAGGCCTTAGGCAAAACTCAAACATGAGGAACCCACTAACACCGAAAGTAAAAAAAAAAGAAAAAAAAAGGGGGGGTTTACATTGTGTGTATAAGGTGCTGTAGTTGTATTGAAGTACAAGCTTGCAGCACTGGATACAGAGAGCTTGTCTCTGTATTCATTGTTCAGAGGCTTGCAGTGTCTGACTGTAGTCATGGCAAAATTTGCTAACTATATTAATTTACAATAAACAAATTGAATTAGCAATTATGCTAATTGTTTACACACGACTGCGGGGTATGGTTACGTAGCCTTGCATTCATGTATACATAAGTGCCGGTGTGAGTATTTCTGAGTGTATATTGTCTACCTGTGTGTGTGACACGGTTTGGGGTGAGTGTGGCATGGTTTGAGGACAGGATTGTAAGGGTTTATGTTGTAGGGTGAGTGTGGCAGGGTGAAGGGGGTGAGTGGGAAAACTGATAGAGGATGAGTGTGACAGGGTTGGGGGGTGAGTGTGACAGTGCAAGAGAAGGTGTGTCTGACAGGATTGAGGGGGTGGCGGGGTGACAGGGCAAGGATGGTAGGGGGGCTGTGACAGGGCAGGGGTTGGTAGGGGGGCTGGACAGGGTAGGGGTGGTGGGGGAGCTGTTACAGGGCAGGGGGGGGTAGGGGTGTGTGACAAGGAAGGAAGTGGTGGGGGAGCTGAGACTATGACAGGGTAGGGAGTCATAAATACCTTTTTTAAATTGATTCCCTGGTGGTCCAGTGGGTAGGCTGTATCTCTGGTGGTCCTGTAGGCTCCCTATCTAGTCTGCAGCTCCGCCAGGTACAGAGCTGCACACCACGTGGTAACTCTTGCGATCTCCAGTCAGAGCATTGCCGTGGTAATCCACGGCAATGCTCTGATTGGCCTCGATCGCGAGACACCCGACAGAGCTGCAGACTGAAGGCTGGTTCTCTCCCGAGCAGACTGACTTTGCACCCTGCGGCATTATAAGCAACCCACCGGGCCCCCTCCTGTGCAGGCCCTCAGTCATAGACCGAAGACCTGACATGTCAGCCTGCCCTATGGCGATTTAGGCGGCCGCGAGGCCCCAGACTATACGTGGCCTTAGGCAGCCGCCTAAATCGCCTAATTAGAGAGCCGCCTCTGCAGAAACATGTCCATTTACTGAGGTCTTACTCTGTGTGTTGGGGTTTATAAACATATCAGAAGTGTGAAAATTACAGCAAAAAGGAAAAATTTAAATGGTGATATTGAGGATTTGTAAAAGATGTGAGGTAGTTAAAGAATGAATGTATACAGCGGAAAATAAATACAAGTAATTAGAGTAGCTGAAAAGTAAAACGGACGTGAAAAGGGACAATAGAAAGTGGTCTTTTGTAATCTACAGTACTTCTCATAATAGCAAAGAAATCATATTATTTTCCATAGCACTTGCATATTATAGAGGGAAATAATGGTTTGAACGTCTGGGATAACTTAGGGAGGTGACAAGTTACTATATTTGTGCTTGTTTTTACAATTGTTGGAGATGGTCTTTTTATTAGAATGCACGTGACCTTGAAAAGTGCTTTAAGATTGGCATGGATAAAACAACAAGTTAAAATAGGCTAAATAAAATAAAAAGTTTAAACAAAAACAGGTATATTATTATTCTATTCTATTATAGTAAATAGACACACATGATCTTCAAACTGAGCAGCCACTGATTTCTGTTGGCTCATTCAGCAGTTTCACTCATTGTATTTGATAGGTGGAACTACAAATGAGAGATGTACTACGTATCCCATAAACGTATGCTAGGCACGGGCTAATGGACTAATAAAGATCCATAGAGTAAACTGAAAGGTTACTGACTGATGGAGCCTATCGCTGGTCTAAGATGGTCCTGCCAGGGGCAAACACTTGCCTGTGTAAAAGCTCATGTTTTAGGGACTTTAATGGGTTATTTAAGCACTATTACCACTTCACTGATTTGTAGAGGCCATGGTGCTTGGAGTCTCTATGTGCAGCATTCTGCTTTGAAATGCTGCACATATAGAGTTTAACACTCTGCTGCTGTAAATGTAACAATTGAGGGATCATTGACAAGCTTTTGTTGCTCTGAATTTTAGCCACGGACTGAGAAGTGTCAGCTGACACTCTCAGCCAATAACTGGTGACAGCCATTCAGAGCCGCAGAAGTCGTAAGCGTGTCACCGAACCACCAGGGAGCACCGGCGAGCTGTGGTACTTGATGTTTGGAGTGACCCTTTAAGCTATTTCTTTTTCTAGTTTTTTTTTCTTATTATGCTTGCTTATTTTAATGATTTATATGTATTATACATTCAAAATGAGTAATGTATTTTTCCACTTGCAGTGTCTCTTCAACTAAAAGTTTGTGCCATTTAGAGCTTTGATTCTTTATATTATATATTAGTGAGTACATACTTTCAAATAGCTTGTGGACCCAAGAACTGGTGTATGTTTACGCAATAGTGTCTAATTATATAACTATTTTATTTACATAAGCGTTGCTTTTTCTAAAATTGTATATGTTCCCTGAACATATGACTTGCAGGTCTTGTGCCATATTTGTCTTATTTTTTTGCATTGTCAGCTAGTAACCTACCACAGTGCATGATATAGTGAATACACATCTATTATGATCTTTAAATAATGTCCCTAAATTTAGTTATGATAACTTGTTTACTGTACGTACACATATCCACCTTTCTATTGTTCAAATAACTCTAAAGCAGCACAATATTTATTAACTGTATATTCATTACGAACATTAATCCACACGTATGTTTTGTCACCTAAATAGAATTGTGTATTTAGCAGTACAATATGAATAAGTCAATAATAAGATGTAGCACAATAATAATTTTGCCTGCATGTTGGCAATTGTAATCTCTATGCTTGCTAAACAAAATTATAATTAATAATGGGTTTCTGTAGCTCGAAACTGGCATCCGCATGTCACAATTTGTATTATTTAATTTTTTGTATTTTTACATTTCTTTTGCTATATTCTTCATTACCTTCAGCAATACCATAGAAATCTTCTAGTTACACACTGCTCCCTGCTGTTGAAATGCAATATTTCATATCTGAATTGTCAACTGAAAACCAAATAAAATTTGCCAACAATTGCATTTCTTTTGATTTTGTTAAACTGATTTGGGATAAAATAAAGCACTTTCGTATAATTTGTTCATTATAAAAAAAGAATAAACCTTGCTAACAAACAATTGGTAAAAAATGTAATACAATACAAACTATAGAAAATACACAACCACGTTTATGTAATTATAATAAAGGGATATGATTAATTACCAATAAAATCGGTGTTCAGCATTTGCTTATTTTAGCACTTATCCTTTCTTCAGTACATTGAGCTATTAATTATTGATTAATGTGATTGCAGAAATTTACACAGTGCTTCACATTTTAATGGGTATTAAAAATGAGCTTGATTGACACACAGATACAACTGATAGATGGACCCATGCCTGTCTGCTTACAGGGCTATTTAGTAAGGTAAGACTCAAAAGCAAATTTCAAATTTAAGACCAGATTAGCTGAACTGAAAGCATTTCTGACAAATAATTTTTCCAGTTTGGATATTTTGACTTTAAATTTGAAATACACTTTGAAATCACCTTGAATTCTCACTTTAGTAAATATCACTGTTAGAATTTAGAGAGAATGGTTCATGAGTAAAACAAAACAAAAAGGTAGTTAAGAAATTCAGTTTCAGAACTGGAGTGTAAAAGACAGTGACAAGTGAGAAAAAGTGGTTAAGAATAGCTTCTACAGCAATATATTTTTGTGTGAAAGACTTTTATTTAAAGGGACACTATCGTCACCAAAGCAACTTTAGCTTAATGAAGCAGTTTTTGTATATAGATCATGCCTCTTACACTGCTACACTCCTCTTTCACTGCTCAATTATCTGCCATTTAGTAGTTAAATAACTTTTGTTTCTATGTATGCAGCCCTAGCCACACCTCTAGCCACACCTCTCATGACTTCGAATGACACAGCCTGTTTAATTTTCAGTCAGATGTAACTCACTTTTTTTCTCATGCTCTGTAAATTACATGATTTTGCTATTACATGATTTTAATAAAGACACGGAGGCGAGTATTTGCATATCCCTTCCTTTACTGTCCACAACAGCAGCAAAGAACATTAACAGAATGAAAAAAGTAAAGTTGGTGCATGCCTCATACATAGGCCATGCCCCCCAGTGTCCAGTATAATAGCCTGGTCCGCACTCCAAATTCCCTCTTTTTGAAGGTGCTACACGGAATTAGCAGGCTGAGAGTACATAAAATTTGAAACTTTAAACACAACATATAACATTTCAGGAACACGCCCAAACTGTGAGTCCCATAGAAGTCGGTTCGAAGCTTTGATGAGCTGTTTCTATTGGAGAAGGCTGTTCCATCAGGCGTGGTCGGATGTCTCCAGTTAGTCGAATCGTACCGATCCGGTTCAGGCTGTGAAAACATAAGCGACAGGAACCCATGGGTTAAATCTGATCTATGTACCGTTATCAAGGTCGACCAAGCCAAGTACAATTATCTCTTCCGAATGTTAACCTAATGTTAGTCTAGTGTCCTTATCTCCACAGTAAAGCTGCCCCACTTACCACCTCATCGTCTCCGGGCTCGTGCCGATGATCTGAGTGGGAAAAAATTTGCAGAGTAATAAACATGACGTACCAGAGCAAATTGGGTGGGAAAATACTCGCCTCCGTGTCTTTATTAAAATCATGACTTTTCGTCATGCAATAGCAAAATCATGTAATTTTATTACAAGACATGGAGGCTCGTATTTGCAGGTTTAAAGCTGGTCCACCATTGCCGTAAACGGATGTGTAGTCGGGCGAAAGTAAAACTCTTGGTACGTCGATTCCCTTGACCAGTCAGCCATCTTCATGAGATCCTCCAAGCGTGCTCCTGAAGTGATAATTGCAGAGGCCGAAGCGCCCCTCACGGAATGCGCAACGTTAGAGAGTAGTGCTTACCACCGGTTTAAAGGGTGGACGGAGAGAGAGGAAAAGCTGAGATGTGGTAGGAGTCCGGCAGTTACTAGTGCGGTCCTCGTATGCTTTTAAGCACGCCACTGGACACAGTGCCGGCGTAGACGGGAAAGCCAGGTACGATACTGAGGTAAGGGATGTTTTTGTCCGTCTGTTGATAATGAACGTAACCCCGTCGGGGGTGTATGATCTAGAGTCGAGATCCAAGGCCCGGACGTCTGACACTCTCTTGCAAGATATTAGGCAAAGGAGACAAACTAATTTGGCCGATAATTGGTGTAAGGAGAGATCCGGGTTCGGAGGCCAGGAGGTAAGGAGGGACAAAACAGTCGAAACATCCCAAGTGGAGGAATAGCGGGGTCTGGGTGGACGGGAAAGCCTGGAGCCCCTTAGGAGTCTGCACACCAGTGGGTGTTGACCGGCTGGGTGTCTGTCTATGCCCTGGTGTGTCAAAGAAATAGCCGATCTGTATAAGTTGATGGTTCGGTATGCTTTCCCTTCTTCGAATAGGGATGTAAGGAACTCCAGAATGCAGGTCACAGGGGCTGAAACGGGATCCATGTTCCTAGCCAAGCACCAGCCAGTCCAAGTTCTCCAGGCTGACCCATATGTTCGTCTGGTGCCTGGGGCCCAGGCATCCGCCAGTAATCGTCGAATTGATTCCGAAATGCCATGGACCGTCCAGGGTCCCCCGAAATGCGCCAGGCCAGTAGGCTGAGTGAGGCATCCTCCAGGAGGGGGTGGCAATCCCCTGATGGGTTCCGAAGAAGTTCCTGGAAGGCTGGTAGTAGTCTGGGATGATCCACCGCCATCTCCAATAGTTACGGGAACCTAGACTGCGTCCCCCAAAAGGGTGTCACAAGGACTAATTCGGCCCGCTGGCGGTGGGTTTGAATGAGGGTGTGAGGAATCATTGAGAATGGGGGAAACGCATACAGGAGGGCTCCTTGCCAATCCTGTAGGAAGGCATTGACGGCTTCTGCCAACGGGTCCGGTCTCCAGCTGAAGAAGCGCTTGAGTTGTGCGTTGAGACGGGATGCAAAGGTCTATGGCAAAAGGACCCCACAGAGATGATATAGTGGAGAACACTTCCACGTCCAATTTCCAGTGGCTGGAATCCGATAGGTAGCGTGAACTCCAGTCCGCCTGGATGTTGTGCAGCCCCGGCAAGTATTCCGCTTGGACCATCAGATTCCGCTCCAGACAAAATTCCCAGAAGTCCTTCGCTAGTCCGGCTAGGGTGCCGCCCATGTGATTAATGTACCACACCCGTGAAACGTTGTCCATGCGGAGGTGAATGCATCTGTTAAGACACCTCCAGTGTCTTTAGGCAAAACCGCCGTTTAGTAAACCTTCCCCGGCTGCAGTACAGTCTCCGTTCGCTTACTCTGTAACACACGAACCCAATGCAGGGGAAGCGGCAATCTCCCGATCGAAATCCACGAACGGCTCCAAACTCCCGAACGGCAATATACGAACTGCTGGTAACCGTCGAACAATAATATCCCCAAAGCGGCTTTCGTTCCATCCAGCAGTCTCTAAGCGTGAAGAAGAAATCCCCCCAATAACGAGACAGAAGCTCCGCATTGAGGGTCAAATAAGATCTGGTTTTACTGTGGGCTACCTGCCCGTATTTATGCAGGTCTCCCACCTGGTGGACACTCCCCTAGGGGACCAAATGGGAGACTTAAACTACAGACAGATAGAAGGACATTTCAGACACACAGTCACATATTTTACCCACAGTGCATTCTGATTCCCTCCCCTCTGCCCTGGAGTTAATTACCAAGTAACTCAATTAACTCCAGGACAAGGACAGTCGCCATCTTAAACATAAAATAATAAAAGACATAAAAATACATAACTACATGAAAACTGAACATTTCCCGTTAGTATTACATGTCCCCAGATAGCCTGGATCTGAGTGCATATTATTAGCGAATAGCGCTCAGATCCCACACACATAGTTCAATCGCCATGGAGTCAAAGTTCTTACAGTCTTTCGGTATACGAATGACTCCATGGGAGGGCTATCTGGGTTAAGTCTTTTGTATGCTCTCAATCTCCCGAACGGCCGGTGTTCGCATGCTTTCGTGGAGGCAGCCAGGCGTTCCCTTGTTTCAGCGGTGTTCGGCAGAAAAAGTGTCCGTTTTCAGTTCCATAGAAATAGAGCCAAACACCGCTGAGCGTTCGCATGATTTAAAATGGCCGCTGCCTCGTGGTCGACATACGAACGACGACCACCCTGAGTTCGGTTTAATTGAGAAGTGTCTGCGGTTAACCACAACGTTCTAATTGGGATCACTTTGTTAACCAGCAGCACACTCCTCACTTGGGTGGCCGTTCGTTCGGCAGATTTGTTTGGGAAAAAAGAGTAATTCGAATGGCTGGGCTATAGAAACCAGCCATTCATACGAACGGGGGACAAACAGATGAACGGGCAAAAATCCAGCAGACAGATGGTTCTGTCACAGCATCCTTGTGCCTGATCCTTTCCGAAGCTGCGAATCTTGAAGTAGCCCGCTAGAAGTTCCAAAGCATTGATGTGTAACCGGGCTTCAGTCTTCAACCAGCGACCTCCCGTAGACACTCCTGCGCAGTGAGCGCCCCATCCCTGCAGATTCGTGTCTGATTCTATGGTGAAATCCGGAAGGGCACCGAAGATCGCCTTGCCGTTCCAAGCGGACAGATTGAGAATCCACCAGCGGATTTCGTCTTTCGTTTCTCTGTCCAGAGTTACCAGGTCCGCGTAGGATGCGCCCTCCCATAGGTGCGCGATCTTGAGTCGCTGTAGGGCTCTGTAGTATAGAGGGGCAGGGAACACTGCCTGGATAGAGGAAGTTAGTAGGCCAATTAAGCGAGCTAGTTGTCGCAGAGAGAGTTGGGGTCGGAGGAGTGCTCTGCGCAACTCCTTGCGGATCGCACGAATCTTGTGTGTGGGTAAGCTCAAAGATTCTTGTATCAAGTCCACCAGGAATCCTAGGAATTCTATCCGAGTTGTCGGGGTCAGACGGGATTTCTCCCAGTCGATGATGAACCCCAGACGGGATAGGAGTTTTACTGCCATTTTGATGTGCCGTATGAGGACGTGTTGTGTTTGAGCCATGAGAAGGATGTCGTCTAAGTAGACGATGAGCCGTATGCCTCGACTGCGCAGCCAGGCCTTTGCCGGGCGGAGGAGCTTGGTGAAACACCAAGGGTCCAATGAGAGGCCAAAGGGAAGGCAGGTAAAATGCCAGGTTCTGTGGCACCATTGAAAGCGCAAGAGGTC